GTGCTGGACAGGCAGGCAGCCGGGGGCTCCAGGCCCCTGCCTGGCGAGCAGAGCCCCGATTCCGCAGGGCAAGACAGCGTCAGCTGCTGGGGGGAGGGCCAGTCGTGACTCCAGTGTGGCCCTTCTGGCCCCTCTGCTTGCAGAGCTAAGACCCCCCTCGCTCCGCACTGATGAGAGCACCCACCCCCCTCCAGAGGCAGCTGCCTCCAGCAGGGAGCATAAGCTGCTCCTACCCAGAGGCACTGTCTAGCTTCTCTGCTTTCCTCCACTCAGGCACCTGGAAACAGGCCACAGGATGGGGCAGAGGAAACTCAGTGGCGCCCGGTGTCAGTTTCAGGGCAGCTGGGTCTGTACTCCCCACACCGGGGTCCCTCGAGGGCAGCCGCTGTGGCTGTCCAGCCCTCAGCTGCCCCCTCTCTTGGGCAGAAACCCGCCGGGGTTTTAAACCTGCCCAGCTCCCTGCATTACACTGCGATACCCCAAACAGGCGTCCAGATCCCTCCGAGCACTATGAGCAGCGTCTAGCCAGCGGTCCCAAGTTCTCAGCAAGCTAGAGGAGAAAGCATTATAGAGCACACACGGGCAAAGAATAAAAACTCTCCAGCTTGCCAGAGGTCACCCCAGTCTTGCGGGGTCCTAGCCCTTAGCCAAGGATCGGGGAGACCTTGGAGCAAAGGCGCTGGACCAGAAGCAGAGCCCGAGTCTTGGGAGAGTTACAGCCAGTGTTCCCCAGATGCCAAACGCTTGGGTGGCCACCCAGGAGAATCCAATGCTGCCCAGCTGATTAGCAGAGCGCCCACAGCCGGCAGCATGGGTTTCTACTGGTGGTGCACATCCACACCTGCCTCAGTGCGTCTGACAACATTTATTCTGCACATGAATCGAAACTATTTGAGGGAACACTGGTTACCACTGGGCTGTTTTGCCTGACTCACCAGGCGCGGCATTTCGACTCTAGCCCTCCCGCACGCAGCAGAACAATCCCACCTAAGCCATCCATTTTACACAAGGGACCCCTGGCACCATCTACCTGGCACACCTGGACGGCGGCTGTGCCTTTGGGAAAGCGACAGCCTAACGAGCTTTCCCCCGGCGAAGCGCCATTGTGCCCTGCCGGCCACGGGTGGATCGGGGCTCCCCCAGCGTGCAGAGAACAGAATCTAGTGTTGTTTTCTCAGTAGCGCAAAAACAAAACCGCCACCTTCCTCATGGTCTGGGAGCCCCAGGGCTGTCTGACCAGCACTTACCCCTCCCTGGCCATCCCCAAGGGTTAGAGTCCCTGGTTCCTCCTCCTCAGCCAGTGTGGGGAGCGTTTCCCCACGCCTGGCTCGCCTCTTGCCTGGCCTCCCGTGGCCTCTGTCTCCCTGGCCACCCTCCTGTTAGCCGCAGGGATCCTCTTCCTCGCCCTATCCCCCCTCCCCTGGCAGCTGCTGGAAAGCCTCTCCATTGGAAAACACCCTGTGACAAAATCAAAACCTTCCTACTGATGGATCCATTTTGTGGGGCTCTCGCCTTCCCACCGAGCCAAGCTCCACAGGTAAGTGTCTGCCTTCACTGTCCCCGGGATAGCCTTGGCTGCAGTGGCATCTTGTGGCCATGAGTTCCACAGGTGGGAAGTGAGTAAAACTGTAACAGCTTTAATTGGGAGCCTTTCGACTCACTGGGCTATGGGGTGCAGGCTGGGGAGAAAGGGTGACCAGGAGAGCCGGAGACCAGCCACACGTCCTTTTAGTCCCTGCCTCTGAGCTCTCCTAAGCCGCTCCCTCGCCCTGCCCGCAGGGGTGGGTCCTGCCCCTCAGCATGGCAGCCCAGCGGGGTCCCCGGAGCGTGCGTGCGGGCGGGGAGGCTGTGGAGACTGGTTCTGTAGTGGAGCCGGGCTCTGCTCATGACACCGGCTGCCCCTTCTGGCCTATGGCGGCCTCTGTGAGGCCAGATGGCTGGCATGGCTGGAGATTACCGGACGTTTGGCGCTGCCCATGGGGAAGGCACAGTCCCGGCCTGACCAGCGGGCAGCCTGAGCGCAGGCTGGGCCGGGGAGAGGGAATGGCCTGTACCCGGGGGTTGCGGGG